GGCTGTTTCTTTAAAAGAGGCGATAAATTACGATGATCAAATTGAGGTCAATCAAAAAATACATGCAAGTAAGAAGGAGAGAAAAACTTACTGTGGAAGAATGGCTTCATATTCTTTTATTCGCACATGAATTTTTCAAAGGAAATTACAAAATTTCATGGCTACTATTGAGCACAGCAGCTGATTGCTAGTGATAGATCAGACAAAAAAAGAGGTCATCCGGGAAACATTGTATGTTCACGATTGATAGTAAGTTGTGTCAAATTCCGGAAACCCCTCTCACTTCCAAAACTGAGTGAAAGTACAGTTTCGGGATTAAGTTCGTAATCTGCGATTACAAATGTTGTTAAGTTTTAGTGTAATTTGGACCGCGTTAAATAGAAAGGAACCAAGGCACATCCGCTATAGCCAAATTTAATTGGGCAATTTAATTTTTTACATGAAAACGGTTGTGCGGATTTTCGTGCAAATTTCGGTGAAAATTCTCCATGGTACGAAGAAAATTCCTTACAATTTTCAAAGAAATCCGAACAAACGTTCTCTCGTAAAAAAATTGATTGCCCAGTTAATCTTGGCAATAGCTGACGTGGCTTGGTTCCTCTCTGTTAAACTCGGTCCATTTAAAGGCCGAGAAGAACTTGCGGCGTATTTTTGCCGGCGACATAACGCTGGAGCGTAGTCTTGGGAACAGAAAAGGCTTTGGACGCTTGGTCGACGGTGAGACTTTTCTGTTTGACGGAGACGACGGCTCGTATCATCATCTGCGGATCCCAGGCCAAGCGCTTGCCCATTTTGGTAACGTTCAAGTCCTCCGTGGAGTACTCTTCGTTAACGACGTAACGCTGTAACGTTGTTTTCGGCACATTGAAGATCGTCGAGGCCTTTTTCAGTCCCAGAGTCCTGCTCCTCACGGCAATGACGGCGTTTTTCATGTTTTCACGGTCCCATAGCTGACGCCTCCCGCGCGGTCTTTCCCCGACGGGTAGAACCCAGTCTAGAAAGCAAGAGAAAGTTAGAAAGTCAGAAAAAAGGGCCAAGGGATTCATCAGCACCAACACGTGTCACACCAAAGCCAAGGGGGTCGTCCGAAAACAAAACACAGCCAGGCTACAAGCGTCTAAGTTATCCGATCGTCTTCCATTTCATTTTATCCTTGAAAAGATCATTTGGCACACAGTTAAAATTGATTTGTTTACGGTTACTTTTAGTTACTTTACAAACTGTAGATGCAACAGTTACAATTGTGCAGAAATTCCTAAAATCTGTACTTGGATCTGCCTAGTGACCTGCTATATCTGGAAAATTCTACCGACAGAAAGGTACACACTCGATTACTTTGGGCAAAGTTTTATTGACAGACAACAGGTAAAAATTAACAGTAATTTATAGCTCAAAGGTCAATTTTTTAAAATTCGAAGTTTAAAAAATTCAAGAGTTAACAATTCAAAGTTTACCAAAAAGAAAAACAAAAAACAAAAACGGTGTGTTCACGATATTATTACATACAAAAAAAAGACACTTATGAAAAATAGGACGATTTAAAACAATTAGAGAATTAGTTAAAATAATTAATTTTGAAAGATACTTGATGCGTCTCAAATTTACACTCAATAAGGTGTGTGAACCTACGGTTGTTGTCACAGTAGACATGTCTGACTAGAATCCCTGACAAGGATTTTTTTAACAAAATGTCAAGCAGAGAACGTATACTCTATCGGAGATTTCCAAAATAAACACATAAGGAAGTATTCAATTCTGATTCGTTTCGGCCTAATTACTCTGAAATGTGTGAAAAATGGAACAAAATTTACTTTATAATTATTGCAATTTTGAAACTTCCTTTCCTTTTTCAGTTGATTTTAATTTATTTTATACGACTTTTCGTCCACGCCAACATGCCACCGTAGTATTAGTTCGCCCCCTATTTTTTATGTTAACACAATTAATCTAATGATAATGACACTGTATTCGAAATGGTCATAATCATAATATAAGATTTTTGACAGCTTTCAAACATTCTAGAGCGATCAGGCAGAAAATAATCAGAACTGAACATTAAATGCGTCCTGATAAGATAAGATTAACAAATTCAACTCATCCAAATGACATGTTCATGTTTCGTGCTAATTACTTTCATAACCTGTCAACTGTGTATTCATGGTTCAACCATAAGGAGTTCATCCTTCTTGCAAAGAAGTTTAGAGTAAACCTCCCTCATTTGACTCGTGGCCGTATTCGAAGACGCTTTATACACGTAACAGTCTAGAAAGCGGAGGAAAAACTTAACAGCTGGATTAAACGGAATGGAGAAGAGAAAATAGCTCTTGAACATGATGTCGATTGCGTCGAAGAAACTGGTTTCGGGCACGACGACCGGGTGCTTGTCGACGACGACGAAGAACTTCGTGATTCGTGCTTTCGAGGTTCCTTCGGCTAGGATGAAGGGTTCCCTTTTCTGGACGGTGGACAAACACTCGGTGAGCGGGACTCCGCTTTTGTTGAATCTGACGAGGCCCCCCACGACTCGCTCCTCGTAGCGCCCTTCCGACTGGCTCAGGTCCCGTTTCTCGCGCGATGGAAACAAGAAAGCCAGGTTGATGAAAGTTCTGATGTCCTCCGACCAGTCTAGAAAAAAAATTCGAAGCTTTAAAGTTACCTAGGTCGGATTCCTAGACAAAAAATGCACAAAAAATGGGTAAGGGACCGTTCAAGTAATACGTTACGCACTTAGAGGGAGGGAGGGGGTCGAGCCAGCGTTACGGCGCGATACAAGGGGGAGAGGGGGTTCAAGCACAGCGTTACGTAACAAATCTAAGCGGGGAAAAAAACTTTAAAACAATTGAAATTCCTGTCGTTTTTCAAGCTGTTTCCTTGATATTTTTAAAACGAGGGGGGGATGGTTAGGCCAGCGTTACGTAATTCAAAAACGGGGGTGTAGGGCTGCGCTTCAGGGGTGTTACACGGAGGGAAGGTTAAAAAAATCGGAAAAAGTATGTTACGTAATACTTAACGGCTCCTAAATGGACCACCGGACAAGCCCGGAGCAGCTGAAGCTAAGGCTCTTCAATCCGGAACTGAATCCGGATCTACTAAACCAGAAACGGACTAAGTGTCAAAATAGCTCGTAATTATGGACCTCAGATCCGGATTTTCTTGAAATCTCTTAATTTCCGGATTTTTCTTCATTCGTGGGAATGAGATTGATTAAAAGTCTTTCCTGGATGTCTGACTCGGCTGTTGAGGTGTTGAAAACGATACGACTTATTCTCATCAAAGATCGGCAAACGGAAGAAGAAAATTTACCTTTGAAAGTCTCGCCGTACGCACTTTGCACGTTGTGCGAAGATTCCTGAAGAACGACCGTTACAGCGGCTCGATATTCATCCCACCAATTTTGGATACTCACACCAGAGCAATGCGGGAATAATTGATCAAAACAAACAGCAATCTGGTGGAAAAAAAAACAAATCTTTAAAAAAAATAAATAAATAAAAAATATAACAAATTCGTTGACAAGGAAGCTCCAAATATAATCAAATTAAAACGCAAAGTCAGGAAGGTAGCCTCGCAGCTTTGATTCCGAATAAAGAACTATCTCTTTGTTCCAACGAAAATATTTATGAACAACAATTGCGCGTAAAATGTATGACTGGTTGGTTGGTTAATACATCTATTTATAGCTTGCATCTGCAATGCAAAGAAAATTACAACTATCGGACGGAGATATCACATTAATCATGTAGACCCTTACTTAAGATACCTTTATTGCAGCTTCTTGAGACTGTTTTTGCCTGACATTTAAATGAAGGCGAAACACTGTCTGATTGATTTGACATGCGAATACCACTATTGTGGTTAGTATGTGCTCCCCATTGCATAACTCCCCAACGGGAGGCGAAATATGGTCACGGTGATGTTGATTTATTGTGCGGTACCACTAAACATTGTTGGCTTTTGTACGTAAATCGTTTTGATGACATCAAGGGTAAATAGAATCCTGAACATCGATACAATTAAAATATCTCCATTAAAAATTGAAGCACTTTTATTAGGTTTACTTAAAGTTCGACTTTGGATCATCTACTGAGAAAAATCGGAATCATCACACAAAGAAAACTGTCTCTCATATGGCGTTGAAGATCTCATATGGTCATCGTTCTCATATGGCTGGCACTCATTGTGCCAAGCAAACGAATCACGTAGATCATCTACCGAGAAAAATTGGAAAATACTCGTTGTGCCAAGCAAACAACACAGTTAAGGGCCGTCGCAATTTTTCGAAATTTTACCCCCCCCCCTCCCCCCCCGGTAACGCTTTTATGACGTGGGTACCCATCATTTCACACGTAAAAGCAAAATGGCGTAACGCTCTCCTTGATCCCCCCCTCTCTCCATTCCTAGAGAGTTACGTAATTTACGGACGGGAACAATTTCATTGGGACACTACATTTACGTGCCGTGACGGGGCACAAGAAGCTACCGGGCAAACGGTTTCCACGTTGTGATGAATCCGATTTGTCTCAGTTCGAAGTTGCAAAATTCTGCTTTCCATTTTAATAAAATGTTAAGATCCTAACTGAGAGGGAAAGTGGCTTTTACGGGACCTATTTTAAAAGCTCACCAAGTTTTTGACGTCATAGAAGCGAGGAAAGGTTGCCTCCAAGTCCATGGTAGATGCGTTCGCCTCGACGTATCTCTGGATAAAGGGAGCAAATTTAAGTGTTGTATCTATGATGGATTGTAAATCTTTGGTTGGTGCGGCCGCTTTCAAAACTTCGATGGCACGAAGGAATTCCTCGTCCTCGATGAAAACGTCTCGGGCCGTGAGCTTCGCTGGGAGAGAGTCCCTGTCCCTTTTAGCCTTCCTCCAGAATTTTTTTACCCTCATACCTTTCTTGTGAACATTCCTTTTGACATTCTTGAATCTGTTCGAGATAAAACCAGCCCCGTAATTGTCGGGATCGGCTAGGTGCTCCTGAAAACAGTTAAGCCAAACGGTAATGAAAGCATTTAGAGACCCTGAATATTAATGCTCAGTATTACTTCTATTAGAAATTACAGTTTCATAAAAAAGTCATGGTCCTAGTCCGAGGAAACAGGAAGTTTCCGAGGGAGGAAGATAACTTTACTCGGCTTGGATAAATTTTACAAGAGTAGATATAAACCACATTTGGACAGGCATTCGAACTATAGAAGAAAAAATTATCTCATGATACGTAAAATTACCCTCTAGAAGAACCGAACATCCCATCAAGCATCATGAGTGGGTTCGATCCAACTTTTTCTCATTCACCTACCGTTTTGTACAAAATCGCAGAAGTGTCAGTGTATAAGTTTATTGTTAGATTGATATCTTTCAGAAATTTCACGATGTTCCGCGAATCACGGTAAAAATTGGCCACGACGGAACCTTCTCATAGTGTAAAAACGATAGGGTTGCAAGTTTAAAAAATTGATTTTCAAAATTCTTTCACATTTCCCCTATTTGCCCTGACCTGTTAGGAAAATGCCCAGACCACTGGGGCTGAAATTCCTTGACTTCTACCAGAAAAAAGAAAAAGATTAATTTGAAAACAACGATGCAAACTTTGAGGCACTGCAGTTGTAGGTACGTATGAAGTCAAAACTTGCGAAAGCCTGAACACGACAAAATAGATGCCGCCTAGAAATATTTTAAATAATACTATGCGTAGATAAAAAAAAATAGAGTCACATTATTCGAATAATTTCTCTTTCTTTTGAATTTTTAGACCACATTTTGATTTACATCTTGATAATGCAACGCAAAACTGCTTGAGGCTGACAAGATGTCGATGTATGAAAAGGCTAACTTATCAAACATTTGACCATGAGATACATTAATTATTGTAACTGCAAATACAAGAAAGAGAAGAGGAGAAACCGGTTTTTTACATGATTTGCGTTCCTAAGCGTGACCTGCTACTCTTATGGTTTTATATTGCGGAGTACGATCTACGGTCGATTTCAATATTAAGCTAAGAGATACTTGCCCTCCGTTTCTTTTTTCATCATTCCCTAATGGTGCACATCTATGCAGTGCGCATTTGAATGATGATTTGGCGCATTTCTGTCAAACGGAACTAAGCGCCATAGGGGGAGGAAGAGAGAGGGGGGGCTTGGATTGGCGGGTGTTGCGGAACGCGATGCTAGTCCATCCTATACTCGCAATGTTTTTCCATGGCTTTTAGTTCCGTTTGACAGAACGCGCTTTTCGAGATTCTGAAATCCTCAAAAGGAACTCAATTTGGCGCTTAGTTCCGTTTAACAGAAATACGTCCAATTATGGAGGTGAGTCACTTACGTATCCCTTTGACGACGGATCTTGATTCCGAAATCGTGGATACAGCATTACAATTTCTTTGGCAGCATTGACCCTCTGCTCTACCGATGGGTTGTACCCGTAGCGCATGATCAGGTAATCCACACATTTCCGCACGATGTCCAACCTTTGATCCTTGAGATCTCCTTCAGGTAACGTATAAAAACAGGCATCTAAATAGTCTTTGAAACTCTGAAATCAAACGAAACGGAAAAACCTTCATTAATATTATGAAATAGTAGCGGAAAAATTTGTAGAAAACTAGGAACCTCATGTCAGCGGGTCACTTAACCTCGCTTACTTTATTTAATATTCTGAAAGTACTAAGTGAGCAGATAATGTGATGATTCTTCCGCATTTATATGGAGCCGTAATGGCGAAGAAAACCGCTTTTGAAAAATCCAAAAACTACGAGACATTTCAAACGCACTCGAATGGCGGAAACTAACGGTGGTGATGTACTGCGGTGGTCAAATCGCAATCTTCTCTCATTTTCCACTTGTGTTTGTTAAAAAATAACGTGTTTCAATGTGGAATTGTTGCATGTTTACTGCAGGTAACACAAATGAGATTCGATTCTTTAATTCTAAAGATTCGATTTTAAAGATTCTTAAGATTTCGACTTTAGTATTGTTCTCATGTACGAGGAGTAGATAGACATTTGACGGAAGTCGTAGAGACTCATGCTCGTTTCTGATCAGTGCCGGATGACATTATTCGGTTCGGCGCGAAACCAGGGCGTTTTAGAGCGGATAAGTTGAGCGATTTGAAATACGTATATCTCGGTTTTTGAGTTAATTTCCCGCGTTTTCAATGTGCGCATCGTGTTTCACGCGTCATGTACCGTCAAACAAATAATTCGCATGTCAAAATTCGTTGATACGAAAGTGACTCATTCTAAAATTTGATAATGCATCGAAATGGTGACCCGGCACCACGCAGGAGTCATGGAATTTCGTGACTGGAAAATGCTTAACAACGGCGTCAACTCCTTCATTCCTATTACGACTCTATGTACTCTTTGCAGGGTTGCCACAGAATTTAGAATACGAAGTACCTTGACATTTACCTCGACACATTTTGGCGCAGTTGCCTGACGACTGAAGATACACGTCAGATGGTTAAGAAGACAAGCAAAGTGCGTTGTGCGAAACGTCGAACCCATTCTCGACAGCAAATAAAGGTGACCCAATAATTTTCCCTTGACCTTTTCGTCATTTTCCCTGACGTTTCTAGGTTTTCCCGAACGTCTGAAAATTCCCTGACATTCCCCCGGTTTCCCCTGACTGTGGCAACCCTGTCTATGGTGCAATAGCATGTAATAATACATGTAAATACCAAAAAAAAAAATAATCGAAAAGACTAATTGCTTTCTTGCTTTCTTTGGAAAATTATATTATTTTTCAACATCCGATTCAAAATGAAGCTTACCACGTCTTTAGCGCCAGTAAATGATCCTTCTCCGAGAGGATCCTCCGAAGAAATTTTGGTGAATATGGAGTTAGAATTGCAATTTTGGAGCTGATCGTGCGAAAATACATGTATCACTTCCGGTCGGTGTACCTCACCTGACAAAATAAAGAGACATAACTATTAGCAAACTCGGCAAATTCTTCCTAGGTTCAGACTAAGAATCTAGAAGCTGAATCAGTCCTGCATCTGCACCGGTAGGAGGAGCAAGAGAAGAGAGTGCTCACAGGGAAGACCAATTTAGGGCCTAAATTCTCAATGATACCTTCATTCCCTGGAATTCAACAGTATGGCAAAAGAAAGTAGTTTTGTGAGCTAAAAATGCTGAGGACGTAGCGGACAGTTCAGGACTTGACAAAGTATGGCAATTTTATATTTTTTTAAAATAATTTTACAATCAATTCCTGAATAATTGAATATGTTGGAATTTAAAATAATAATTGTAATATTTCTTCACTTCTTCCTTACCTACAAAAAAAAAAAAAAAATAGAGATCCTCTCAACCGCCTCACATTAAAAGTAAAACAAAATATATGTAGAATGGAAAAATATAAAATAAATTAATAAGGTTTTTACGAAAAATATCCTACCTTCTTCACATTCACGCGTTCCTTGATTTCTCCTGCACAGAAAATTTGAACACATTTTTCGCAAGAAAATGGATACTGAGGTATAAAATTCAAACTTTCGATACTCTGGTTTGGTTTGCCATGGCTAGTCGTCATGGTGGGAGAGAGTTCACATAGGACACGCCTAAATGCAGTGCCATTAACTCAATTTTGATTTTTTCAGCACTGCAGTCGTTTTTTTTCCCGTAAGGGACAAATACGAGTAATGATTATGTCCCTCATTACAGATGGACCTCTCCTGTATAATTTTAATTACGTTCAACGGTTCAACACTGCCGTGCTAAGGAAGAATGCCGTATGAACATGCGAGAGCTGTCAAATTTTCTCCGGTAAAATGATAATTGTTGAGGAGAGTTATGAACATTTTTCCTTGAAATTCTCAGGAAATTTAGGTAAAGTTATCTGAAAACTTGGAGGACATTCATAAATTCACTAAGAAATTCGAATTTCGTCTGAGGAAATTTGACAACGCCTGAAGGTTTATACGGCGTTCTTCCTTAGCACAGGGGAACAGACGATGTATGCATCCTTAAAACGCCGTAAAGTGTGCTGCGATCCACGCAACGGAAAGATCGAAAATCAATTCCTATGCGCGATATGTACATGTACATACTTAAAACACATTGAATGGTTCTCAAACAGAGATGGAAAGTGAAATTTCATAAGGTTTGAATAAATTTCACAAAAGTTAAAACTTAATAATTTTTTTAGAATTATTGATTAAACCTTTGGAGGTCTGAAAGCGTTTCAGATGGTCTTTCTGTTGATGCTGCGGTATTATGCTACTCTACTGAAGGTGCCAGACACAAGGAGGGGGCAAAAAGGGGAGTTTAGAGAGAAGAGCCCCAACCTGACCTCTTAGCTGAACGAAAAGATTTGCAACGCGCGAATGTTTTACGCTTGGAGTAAAAAATTTCAAAATTTAGAATTACTGTTTCTGGGCGTTTCTTAGTCTCCTGAATCTATCCCCAAAAGTTTCAATAAATTTCATGAAATTTCACGCGTGAAATTTCACTCGAATAAATTTCATGAAATTTTCCATCGCTGTTCTCAAATCATACGACGACGTCATTTTTATTATGTTTAAATAACGTCAATTTCAACACCCATACCGCCTTCAGGATTTATAGAGTTCCAATTGAACAACACCATTTTGTATTGTAAGTAATGAGTAGAAACCAAGTTGTTGTGGTATATTTCTTTAATTCACTGAAGCCTTTTTGGGCTTATGCCATCATCAGAGTATTCTGACAAATCTTGAACATTAACTTCGTCACAGTTTGAAATTTTTACGAACTTTTACATCACAAATACATGATAGGGCCGAAATTAAAAACTTAGTAGATGATAAGAAAGATCATTGCTACTGTGAAAGTTTTAAACACGCATATCAGCTGATTGCGAGCCGGTTCGTTGGTCAATCCGTAGTTTTAAGTATTAGCTGAAAAAAGCTTTAATGAATTAAAGACATATGTCCACAACACCTTGGTTTCCTATAGATTACTTACAATATATGTTTTCAGGAGTTGATTCCTCAACTTTCCGTTGTATAAATTAGTATACTGTGAAATGCTGCAGAAAAAAATGTGGCTGAGACTCCAGTTGGACTGCATTTTGCAATTTGGAACAATAAAATCCGGCCCGGTTTAAAAACAACGTATGAGCCATTATTTTCCCTATGCACATAAGTGTTTTTTAAGATGAGCCAGAATTTATAGGTCCAAATTGCAAAATGCAGTCCAGTTGGTCTTCGTTTACTGAATCCTTCCATGCTCTTGTTTTAATTCACGAATGCATTAAAATAATTCGCTTGGATCGATCGGAGGGTATTCTGGGTAGATGAGTGCATTGAGCAAAAGAAGTTTTGATACATCGAGAGGGCACGAAAAGCTTTCATGCTAAACATTTTTATTCTGTTATTTTCACAACACATACAAATCCAGGATGAAAGTCAGTAGGTTAAAAAATACTCATTCGATGGTTACCGACCGTTACTATTTTATCGAGAAAATTAGAAAAGGAAAAACATAGTAATTACGAAATGTAAAACGAAAATAATTTGCTTTCATAAAAGGAACTGAAATTAGTGACATGCAGCCTGAATTATGAACTTTATTAACGGTGGGAGTAGAGTACCTTTAAAGACTGAATATGGCCACTGAAGGATCCAATCGTGATTGGCTCAGCCACCTCACGCCTTTTATATAGAACTCTTAGGATCCAAACAAATGGCGGTCGTCACATGCAGAGTATTCCTAAGTGGAGATAATGGGATTTTACTTGCATTAATGACCATGAAATTCGCTCAAATTCCGAAGGTAAACGTATGTGCTCAGTTTTGAATCCAATATTGAGCATTTCATTTGAAAACGGCTTTTTAACTTACAATTAGACCTCCACTATGACCTGCCATAGTAGAGGTTCAAGTTATCAACCTTGTAAGTTCAAGTTATGAACCTTCTAAATTCAAGGCTGAAAGGAGCAGAGCATAAACGGCAAAGGTTGGCAACAACCCCTTCTCAGTCTCACCTGCTCCCATCTTCTCCCACGTTCTCCAACCTTGAGTCGCCGCCATTTTTTGGGATCCTAAAAGCTTCATGCAACCCGGTATACATACTCTTCTAATGAAGGTACTCTCGGTGGGGGAGTGGACTGACATCAAATAAATGACAACGAACTCATAACCAGTGAAAGTGGGCGAAAAAGGATGAAGATCCCCTATTATAATTCAGGATTCAATTGTTTGTTTAGTTTCCTGGAATTTTCGGCTAAATGACACCCTTTTTTAAAAGTGTCCTACGTGTCACGCGGTAGGCGACTAGAAGGATTCCCCTGATAAAGTTGCGACTTTCTGCCGGACCTCCTCTGTTATTTTTATACTTATACTTCCTCTTCGGTTCAAGAGGTATCAAGTTGTACCAAAGGTCCCGCGGGACATTGGGAAAAATCTCGCTCAGGATCTCTCGGAGTTGTAGGAACCACGGTTGCTCCAATTTGTAATTTCCGGCGTCCGTCTCCCTCTTTACGAGGAGTTTCGCGATCGTCATACAACTGTCCCTGTCCAAGGACTTGTGCCTCCTGTAGAATCTGACGGCTCTTCGACCTCGCAACCGAGCACCGATCACAGATTTGATGCCTCGAACCTCTTCCCTGGTCACTCGAGGGGCAGGATAGGTCAACGGTGGCTCCTGGTCGAGCATGGTAACGGCTTTTCCACCCGCTGGTATTTGAGCCTCCGAAGCCTCTGCCCAACCCCATGTCTTTGGGTCGGGCGGGGGCAGAGGCTTTATCCCTATCAGCTTGGACTTCAACCGGATTGATTTCTTCCTTGGAGGAGCCTTGCGCACAGGACTTTGAGCGCAGTTGCAACTCAGGCATTTGAACTTCCCAGTTGACGCCTGCAACAGAAATCCAAGACCCTCAGTCTAGATAATATCAGGGGATATTATTTCACCAAATGGCAAATCAATCAATCAATCAATCAATCAATTATTTATAGTCCAACTCACAATCCTCGAGCTAGGTTAGGTTAAGTTAAGTTAGGTTAGGTTAGGCTAGGTTAGGTTAGGTTAGGTTCGAACCGTAACCGAATTCTCAGTAAAAAAAAACGGGTTTGCGATACGTAAAAAAAACAATAAGTAAAAAAAATAGTAACAAAATTGACGTTGAGTAGTTAAAAAAATAAAGTATGAAAAGAAGTCTACAATTTAACGTCGCAAATCGAGATATGTGATTTGGTAGTTTCACCATCGATATATCGTCACCTTCCAGGCAAAGTATCACAAGCGTCATGCCACGTTTAAAAATTTCCGCCGCCATTTTATTTTTTTACTGAGAAATTGTTGGTTGAATCTGTTCGAAAATTTCACTAAATTTTATCGGCAGCACAAAGAAAATTCGGTGTAATTTTCGGACAGCTTCGTTGAACAATTTCTCTGTAAAAAAATATAATGGCGGCGGAAATTTTTAAACGTCGCATGGCGCTTGTGATACTTAGCCTGGAAGGTGACGATATGACAAATCGACGGTGTAAGTCGGCAATCACATACCTCGTTTGCGGTGTCTGAAAATCTCTGCCTCTGTGTTATTTTTTAAAGAAGAGCAAATTGACATCATTCCTTGAAGTTTTTGCAGTTTTCTTCACACAGAGAAGGAAAATCACGGCAGTTTTAAAGAATTGCCGTTGAGTAGTTTTCCGTTAAGAAATAAAGTAAGTATGACAGGAAGTCTGCGACGTCGCAAACCGAGTTATGTGATTGCCGACCCACACCGTCGAAATACCATTGTATATTGTTGTTCACTAATGTTTCACGATTGTTTCCCTTTTCGTTTGCTAATTCACCATTGTACTCCTTCAAAATTTTAACATTAAATGTTTTGGTTACGTTCAAGTACGTCCAGGAATGAGTAAATAAGTATTATGTTAACTGGAGCATACGTATTAAAGTGAAATGTTACCAGGCTGCCTTTATTATTTCAGTGAGGGTAGGATGAGGATACAGTATTTCTGTTTGTTTTAGTTGCATCTGAAGTATACTGTTCTTCATTCAAAAGTAAATTACAGATGGAGCATACCTTGCGTTTCATCTTCTGCGGCGCCAGTTCCTCGGACCGTTCATTATCGAGGTTCATTTCTGCTGCTTTGACATCAAGCTGTGGATCACGAAATCCAATAAATTCTGTGGCAAATTTAGCGAGAGGGATATCGTCATCTTCGCTAAAGTATTCGAACGTATCGACTGAGTCCGTAGACGAGTCCCAACCGTCTTCAAGAGTGATGACAGCTCCTACAAAAAAAGAAAGATGCATGATTTAGTCGAATAATTAGAGCTTAGGGGATTCAGAACTAACTAAAATTTGCTCCAACAACGCACTCTGGCGTTCTGCGACACCGAAACGCCAAAGGTTATCGGGCAACCGACGCTCTGCTCTCTTCGTCGACGCCCTGCCGCCATCCCTTCATGGGACGTCCCCGCCGCCTTTTCCCGAGAGGGAACCAGTTTAAAACTGGTATGGGCAACCTCTCTCCCGACATTCTTTGCACATGTCCATTGCCCATACACATAACTGCCTGGACATGACGTCGTGCACGATCTTACTTGTAGCGCATTCAGAAAATTCTTAAAAAAATCCATGATAGAAAATTATAAAAGCAAGTGACTTTTGAGAGAGGTTGAATTGTACATTTCACGAGTTTAATCACAGCATATGAAACAATTTTTCACGTGTTTATAAATATCAATAATTAGCTTAATAGAGTAATTGGCAATAATTAGCGATATTATAAAATAAAAGGAGAAAACCTACAAAATTTAAGTGATTCTGTTCTTTTAGAATTCGCTACCTCTTGTTTGGGCGTTAGCCCTTGGTTCAGAAAGCATTATGCTATTATACATGTATCGTCCTTCTTTTAAGCGCTCAGCCGATAGGCAGCGCTTTTTGATTCCGACTTGCCTCTGAGTGCTTGTATACTAGTGCTAATGCGTTTAAATGGCGCACCAGCTCATCGATGTGTAGGCTTTTTGGGGGGGGGGTCCATTTTTAAAATAAATAAAGCTGTGAAAACTGTATTTTATGCTTTTAACGTAATGCGCAGGTAGTCTCGATCGTTTTTCTATAAGAAAATTTCTTAGCGGTAGAGTAATTCTTATCGAAATTGATCGTTGAACTCAAATGAAGCCTAAAAAACACGCGCCTGATGAGCTCAACGGTGAGCTCATTTTCGGGAAACAAAAATACGCGTTTACGGTTTCCTTGGTAACCTTTGTTTGCTATCAGCTGATGTTTTATTTCCATTACCCAGCAAAGTCGACGGAGTTTATACTTCCTTTCTTCACTAAATACATTGACTAACACCTGAGCGCTTTTCTAATACGACAGTATTAGAACTTTCCCGCTTGTTTTTTCTTTCTTCCTGTTTTTCCTTAAAAGCAATATGCAAGAATCGCCGCTGGTGATAAAATATCTTCATTCCGTAATTTCAGTTGATGCAAGAACCGACGTATCATCCGTCACCGGGTCCAGAGAGCTGAAAGAATTTAAACCTAGTATAATACAATAATCCGTAACTTACAAGATTAATGAATAAATACGAAAGGAAATTCTTACTATCTGAGTTCATTTGGAGTAAGTAAGACTTAACACTGAAAAAAATTTGCTCGGCTCAAGCATGATGATTCTTGAATTTGCCGCCAATAATTTTTTTTTTTATCTTGATTCAAGCTGAATTTTTCTTGATACAAGAAAAAAATATTGAGTTAAGCAAAAATGTAGGTAATAACTAGCAGATTAGGATCAGGATTCTTGATTCAAGAGAATATACTTGACGGCAAATTTAAAAATCTTTTTTTTCAGTGATGATTTACTGAGGTGTAACCCCCTCGTGATGCAAAATCTACGAAACTTTATCTCTCTCGTGCAAAGAGGTTACGATTTTAGCGATCTATTTTAAATCCTGTAAAACTTTCATGGTTTAAACCCAATTAGTTTCTCACTCATTGTCACGTTTACTTTTCAACCAATGTTAGTCGTTGTTGAAAATTGCAAAATGAGTGTCTCTTTTGGCGACATTGATGATTTCGTGTCACATTGTATGCATTATTTACGATAAACTAACAAACGTTATTTCTTGACATTTTTGCTGGTTATCCTGCATCATGAGCAGAATATTTGAAAAAATTGTGAATGATTCACTGATTTTCATTGAAAGGGGGGGAAAAAATGAAAATGAGACATCATCAGCTCTTATTGAAACATTCCGAATGAAGAAAAAGTTCTTCGACTTTCGCCATAAAGCCATCTCCGGGCGATGGGGTTCAGAAAATAGGGAGAAATAAAAATCTGTGGCCTTCAGGAACAAAATGCGACTATTATTAGTCAATAAATGACTGGAAGAAAGGTAAAACACACATGAAAAAATATTTCACTGACTAACATTATACACGAGAAAAAATGGCGTATGAAAGAAGAGACGTTGATAAAGGGACATATGGTATAAAAAAAAAACGAAAATTCATTTAAGTTCTTGAAAACAAAACTAAAAATCAGTAATTCACAGACGGCTCACTGACGCAATGAAACACTAATAAATTTAAATTATAATATACAAGTAAACAGAAGAACCACTACATTGCAATAAATATATGCATGAAGTTTAAGTGCTTTGCGACTTTTGCCATCGTAAAGCTATCTCAATACGACAAGGTTCAGAAAATATAGGGAGGAAAAAAAAAATTGTGGCCTTAAGGAACTATATGTGACTACAATTAATTAAGTAACTAGAAAAAAGGTAAAACACACATGAAAAAATATTTCACGGACTAACATTAGTCTTGAGATAAAATGTTATATGAGAAAAGAGACGTTGATAAAGGGACATAAGGTATTGAAAAAGAAGACAGTGAATTTAAAACGGCGGCATGCGGGCATGAAATTCATTTAAGTTTCCAAAAATAGGAACGAACATCAGTATTACACTAGCGACTCATTAACGCAATCAAACACTAATAAATGAATATTATAACTAGCGGGTAAACAAAATAACCATTAAATTTAAAAACAAATATATTGTTTAAAAAAGGCAGTAAGAGAGAAGTAAAACAATTTTGAGCAGCGTCAATTTCGTCTAAAAATAATCTCAAGGAACGAAAAAATAGTTGGCATTTTCTTTCAAGACGTGCGTTCTAGGCTGCCTGATTCAAGCATCTGAAAACATGAGAAAAGAAATAATCATCGACGGTCGAATAAGTGGTATAGCAGAGCAAGTTACGGTTATTAAATTAATATTCATTCGATCAAAGGATAAAAATTGTGAGAAGCGTCGCTTTTCTCCTTAGGTAACTCATTTCATAAATACATATTTTAAACAGTGACACAAAATCTTGGTTAAATATGTTCGACAATTGATTGATAAGCATAAGGCGTTCCTTGCGAATTCCGTGCATGTGTCGGCCTCTTATGGTGTAGTGGTTGTAGCGGCAGCGCTAGCTCTATGATCGGGAGGTTCCGGGTTCGAATCCCCCGCCAGGCGACCCGAGTTTGATGGTCTCAAACAATGGTTGCCTGGGTCTGGTTGTAGGGTCGGAGGGGGGACGGGATTTGACGGGATTAGCCCGTGTGGGCTACTTGAAGTAGAAGAAAAAAAAGAAAAAAACAGGTCTTCCCCAATACTTAACGGTTTCTGGACCGATTTCAAAACGCTGTAACTTCACTTGACTTGATATTTTTAGGCATTTTGACCCCGAAACAATTTGTAAAACCCCTCATTTTTTACTTTAGACTTCCTTCAATTTTTATTATTCGTAACTTAGGTCCTTTTCTCCGTATGCAGTAACAAACTGAGCCAAATGGACACATATTTTCTCCACCGGAACAAAAGAAAAAAATCTGCACTTAAAAATAACCATGTAGAAGCTCCAGTCTGATCAAAGTTCCTGAAAAATTATATTCGACTTATAGGGAACACCTGAAATTATGTAATATCTACGTAGAATCAGGTTCACTAGTATTCACAATGAATTACGCGGTAAAAAATTCAATGAAAGAAACGGTGTAATTACCTCTGATCCCTTTTCATCTATAGAGATATCATCCGCTACTACTCCAACGTCTTTGTCGATGATCGCTTTCTTGTAATATTTATAATACACATATTTTCGATAGAGCCATCCCGAGGGTTGACGTTCTCCATTCTTGCATCGCCCTTTAGGTCTGTACCACTGTTTTTCAACCTCGGTGGGAAAGCAACGACAGACATTCTGAGCGATCTCTTGGAACCGCTCTGGGGAAATCTGAGTAGATACATCGCCGTTCAGTTCCTTGCGAATCAATACGATGGACAGAGTTTTCCGGTCTGTGTCTGTTAGTTTGTTCGAACTATTGTACGAGTTCAAAATCTGCTGGCCTTCAGGGATTTGATATAGAAGTGATCTCAGCTCGTTAGGGACCCGTTTCTTTTTTAGCTTGAAATGTTTCAAATTATTATTCTTCGGAGGCCGTCCTTTTCTTTTCTTGCGTTCAGGGAGTGAATCAGAGCGTTCAGGGTGTGAATCAGAGCGTTCAGGGCGTGAGTCAGAGCGTCCAGGGCGTGAATCAGAGCGTTCAGGGTGGGGCTCAGTCAGATTCTGGAATCAACATATTTCAACCCATTAATGAGTCATCATAATTGACAAACATTTAAGCGTTTCTGATATTAGACTCTGTATGCTGGATAAATCTATAATGCACGCAAATTCTATGTACATATGGACGTATTTCTATGAAACGGAACTAGGTGCATTATGACGTGAGCCCTGTTAAGCACATATTCTTATAGGTCTCAGGGCTCACGTCCTAATGCACATAGTTCCGTTTGATAGAAATACGTCCATATAGTATCTTTTAGCATACAAACGTACAATTTCGTGAGGCGTTCGTCGAGGCAAGAGATCTTGAAAGAGAGGAAGAAAAAAATCCATAAGGTTGCCTTGAAAGAAAGGAAGAAAACATCCAAAGGGTTCCCTGATACAAATAAGGCATAGTCATGATGTTTAAGTGGGCGTGTTTCTGCTACAGTTGACCAGAGACAGGATGGAAAGAAGAGGTGTCCTCGTTGGTCTATAGGGCTGTAAAAATAAATGGGAATTATGAAGCGACAGTGACGTCAGCGGTGACGAGGCTGCCGCTGCGCTCGTCCGTCGTTCGCTTTAACTCATGAGCCTTGTCCACAACGCACTTTTGCGATGCCCACGGCTCATGAGAGCCACATTCAGTTAGTGCCTATTCCAATTTCCCATACAGAATCACACCCACTTTTACATTCTTTCTTATCCAGCTCTCTGGAGCACACCCCATCTTTCCCAATCGTTTATAGTTCTGTATAGCAGCGTGCTGATTATTGAAATCGATAGACAAAGCACTAGACAAAGAAGACATAGGGAGTATGGAACAATCCTATTGGTTGAAATGGGTGGTTCTAATAGACCAAGGGAGAAATTGATGGACTAACTATAGGGTCTCCTGTGGGTTGCCGTTAGTTAGTCTGTTACCACCTCTTTTGTCCATTAAAACCTCCTTTTTCCACCAATAGGATCCCTTTATATTCCTTTTGCCTTCTTTGTCTATGGCTTTGTCGATCGATTTCAATAATCGGCCCGCTGAAGTACGTCCATTTGAACATCTTGATGAGGGAGCTTTTACATGGGTTACTTTCATTATTTATCTTCAAAACATTTCAAATTGCGACCCAACTTAAATAATAGTAATAATAACCGAAAAAACATTTTTGAGGATTGAGTATTTTTGAATACATTGTCCAGCATCTTTTCCTTTCTTTTTTTTTATTTTTTAACAAAAACCTAAGTAATCTGTTCCATTTTCACATCGTCCGTTCTGACGATGCTAGGGAATATGGAAAACATGTCAATGGCTTAAATCGAAAAATAGGTATTTTCCTTTGTGATTTTGAAAATTCTCCAGACGCGGGCGGTTGGGCCGCGTAGCAGTCAGGGGGCGTAGCTCCCTACTCCTGAGTATAAAAAGATGAAGAAAAATATCGACCCCCCCCCAAAAAAAAAAAAAAAAAAAAAACTTTACGGTACCTTCAATCGATTTTGATTTTCAGAGATTCCCTCGGCCTTTTCTTCAACACGTTTATCGGTGTCTGCTTTCTTGGAATATTTGTAATACATGCATGTTTGATACAGTTTTCCCGAGGGATATATGTAGGTTCCGTTCCTGCAACGCACCCTAGGCTTGTACCAAATTCTTTCCAGCTCGGTCGGAAAGCAACTACAGATATTTCGAGCGATTTCTCGGAACCGTTCTCGGCATATTTTAGCAGATGCATCACCATTCAGTTCTTTGAGAATCAACAAGTTTGACAGCGTTTTCCGATCTCCTTCAGTTAGCTCATTCGAATCATTGTAGGAGTTTAAAATCTGCTGGCCTTCGGGGATTTGAGACAGAAGCGATCTCAGTTCGTTTCCAGAATCACATGCCTCGTGTTCCGGTTCCTTTCTCGGCTTCAAATGTTTCAAATTATTATTATTCAGCGGCCGTCCGGGTCCTCTCTTGCGTTCAAATTGTGGCTCAGTCCGATTCTAAAGAAAAAAAGGGGAGAGAGAGAGAACAAAAATGAAAATAAATTATCGAAACATTATAATTGACAACTTTCTAGGCGCTTCAGAAAATCATAATTCCTACGTGGAAATGGGACATTACTCCAAAAAATTTAATTTAAGGGGGGCGATTTTTGATTCATCAAGTCAGGCTAAGTTGCCTCTCTTTTCCTTAAAATCGTGAACACTTCTGCTTCAAACAAAAATTACATCTTTGATTTTCCAACCAGCCTCTCTTTTCTTATATACTCGTGATGTAACGCTCACCTCACTCTTCAGCATATATTTAATGCTCCCGTGCTAAGGAAAAACGCCGAATGAGCCTTCAATAAGCGTCGACCAATTGGACGTATTTATGCTAAAAGGAACTATGTTACACGCAAACTCTATGCACATGGTTCTTTTTAGCATAAATAAATACGTCCAATTTCGCTTCTAAACACGAATTTTCGGGAAAATTTGCAAGAAAATTTCTTCCAATTTTTTAGATAATTTTGTTCGCGATTTCACCTAAAAGTCCTGAAAAATTTCACAGAAACATTTTCATAGCTTCCCTGAAAAATAAACATTCTATTGAAGGAAATTTGGCAACTCTCGAATGTTCATACGGCGTTTCTCCTTAGCACGGCAGAATAGTTGTTCAGGAAAAAATGATGCATGGTGTCTTAAAATCTTTGTTCTTAGCATTGTACAGTGCAAACGAATAATTCAAATAATCAGAATCATCCTATTCTACCAGGATTTTGCGTTACACATTTCATTGACAAAATCTTTCACGTGCACTTCATCAGAACAAAAGTCATAAATAACGGTAGCTTGGGGCTGCACCTAGCTCCTGGCGTTTAGAGATAGCTGCCAAATTATTCACACATGTTGAGCCTCCTTAAGCATTAATTAAAAGCGGAATAGCTAGCCTTTTCCAAAAACGTTTCCGACCGTTTTGCTCTAAGCTAGGAAACGTCCCTGAACTATGTCATGCTTGTCCTTCGATCGATCTCCCTCCTCCCTTCGTAAATTTTAGGCAATGTTGAACTCCTACTTATTGGAAGTTTTCTTATAAATGATCATTTTGCGCTGATTTTGGCGTGTACCAAGACCGGCGACGTCAGGTTAAGTTTAAACCATGAAATCCCTTGAGGGCTGATTATTGAAATTGATAGACACAGTGATGGATAAAGAGGACAAACGGAACACGGAGTGATCCCATTGGTTGAAATGGGTGGTTGTTATGAAAAGGTCACTCGTGGGTTGCCGTTAGTTAGTTTATTACTTACCTCCTTTGTCATTTGCAACTACCCGCGTTCACAAATAGGATGACTTAGTTAGTTTGTTCCTAAAGCCTCCTTTGTCTATAGCTTTGCCTATCGATTTCAATAATCAGTCCGTTGGTGTCAATTATTATGGACAGCCCCTTACTAATGGGCGGCTCAATGAAACATGAACTCACCTCTATTCTAATTGATTTAATTGGTATTTCCTCAACCACTTCTTCATTGGGTTTGTCTCGGATGGCTTTCTTTTGGTACTTATAATACAGATATCTAGCGTACAGTCTTCCGCTGGCGTTGAGCCTGCTAAAATGGGGACCAAGCGACCTGGGTCTGTACCACTCCTCTTCCACTTCGGTCGGAAAGCATCGACAAACTTCTCGAGCGATCTCTTGGAAACGCTCTGGGGGTATGTTGGTGGATATTGTGCCGTTGAGTTCCATACGAATCAACAAGATTGTCAACGTGCACCGATCCGACTCGGTCAGTTGCTTTTCTTCATCATATGAGCTCAAAATCCGTTGGCCTTGTGGGATTTGAGATAGCAGTGATCTCAGATCGTTCCCAGAATCCTCTACCTTTTTGGCGAGTGTACTTTCAGACTTGGAAGGCTTTGAAACGCTGTTTTCCGGAGCCAACTCTGGCTCCTTCTTGCGCTCAGGGTTCGAACCAGTCCGCTTCTGGAAACAAAAAATGTCGACTTATTACTAAATGTGATCGTCTACGGCAAAAAGAGCATTAGCCCACACATAAGACGTCGTTTTCCGGAGGAAGTAACGTATCTCCGTTCCAAGGTTGCAAAATTGGCTCAAGTAATTCCATTATTTACAAAGAATCTACTTCCGCGATGTTCTTTGAAATTGTTTCCGATTTTTGAGATCAAAGGAAAATTCGGTGAAATTTCTAGCTACACATTCATAAGATTCTCCTGGTAAGAGTGCAATTTGCGCAGGGAAATTTGGCAACATTGAAATATGGTTACGTTCGTTCGTGAGGAAAACGACGAGAAGAGTAAGAGTCTGTTGCAGATACTAGATACAGCCAGGCGATTGTCTCTTTCAGCGACTTCACAATTAGTTGGCTTTGGTTCGGAGGGAGAGGCAACTAAACTAACTCCCAGGCAAAGCGGAGAGTATCGCCGGGATTCGAAGGCGCTCTAGGACGAGGTCGTGCTTTCCCGGTTCATTACCAATGAAACCTTTACTATGCCGAGGCGAATTTTTGAAATTGGACGAGTTAACACACATGCCGCTTGCCAGGTACCGTCGATTGCTAACTACCTACGAAATATCTGATTGACCGCTAAATTTGATTAATTTCATAATTTTTCACGATAGAAGATTTCCTCAGTATACTGAAGTTTCCTTAGTTATTTTACACACTGGGAAAAGTATTTCTGTAACATTAAATTTTCTACACGGAAAAAAATTAAATGTTGATTTAGCATTCATACTGTTAAAAATATGTCGGACAAGTTTCATATGCTGATTTTACAATACAAAAATGCTAACATAACATTTTAATTTGTACTTTTTGCAGTGGGCGTAGTTATGTTAGCATTTGTTAAAATGTAAAATCAGCATTTGAAACTTGTCGGACATCTTTTTAACAGTATAAATGCTAAATAAACATTTAATTTCTTTCCGTGTACTTTGTCAAAGAAAAATGTGCTCCTGAGATCCTGAGAGAATGTGATTTTGAATTACTCATTCATCGGTTAGTTGGGACTTTTTTACCGTATTTCACACTTCCCTGGGATATTTTCGTGAGGTGTGCCTTGAGCACGGAGAAAAAAACTTCGTGCGTGGGACCCGCCGTTGAGGTCATATGGATCACGTATCTAAAAACTTGAGGTCCAGCTGCCGAAGCTCGGGTCAGACATCTGAAGTACTTTGATACATACCGAAGTGCCTCGATGTCTGACCCGAACTTCGGCAGCTCGACTTCAAGTTTTCGGATGCGTGATCAGAAAACTTCAGAGATCCATATGACCTCAACTTCAGGTCCCATGCACCAAGTTTTTTTCTCCGTGAGAGATTTGAACTTCACTTTGCGATAAGGAACTGCTATTTCTAAGTCATCTTAGAAACGAAAAAGTGCCGTTAGTTTCTCGATGCAAATAAGACCTTCTATGGATTGGTCAAAAATAGTAGTTCCAGTTCGCACGATGAAGTCCAATCAGTTCTTACCGTGTCTTTATGATTGATTAATTACCTTGCAAGGACTCTGCTTGAGGAATAAACTTTTGGCAAGGACTCCATGGCGTACGTCCTTGATTGCTCTCTGCGCGTACTTATAATATATGTATTTATTGTAGAGTCTTCCCATTTGCTGGACGACGACTCCATCCTGACGGACCCTCCTGGGTCGGAACCAGTCCGTCTCGTTCTCGGTCGGGAAGCATTCGCAGACGCTCTTGGCCATTTCGCGATATCGCTCGGGGGGAATTTTGACCGAGAGATGACCGTTCAGCTCCGAGCGTATCAAGAAAATTGTCAGCAGGTTCCGGCTCAACTCGCTCAAACTTTTCTGTTTCTCGTAAGAGCGTAAAATTTTGCGGCCGGTGCGGCTTTCCGAGAGCATTGATCTTAAATCAATCTTAGAGTCTCTCACTTCTTCTTCTTCTTCCGTCTTAGAGCTCTTCGAATCGGGTACACCGATGTCGGGTTTGTCATCTTTGATCGCAACTCCCTCTTCCATTCTTGGTAACTTGGATGAAGTGGTATTCGTCTTCTTTCCCCTCTTCAGTTTCGGGTTTCCATAATTCCGAAGCTGTCAAAAAAAAAAAAAAAATTGATGTCATTAGTGCGTTATAACATACTACCATACATACTACATATTAGGGGGGTCATTCATTAATTATGACACACTTTAGGGGGGGGGGAGGTCTGGTGCAGCTTGACAGGTGCGTGACGAGGGAAAGGGGGATTATTACTGCGTGACGTTATGAAACACTGCGATGAGACTTTTGGAAAGTTTTACGATCATTTTCGCAAAAATTTCCGGGAAAATGTTGATTTAGCACGAGAAAAGGACTTGGATAAAAATAGGGCAGTCGACACAACCAGCGACTGGTTAAAAATGCGCCAGCTACCGTGCGGTAGTTACGATAACTACCGCAGTGGAGGTCACAACTACCTGTATCGTCTTGTGACTGTCCCCGACAAAAGTTTCTATTTCCAGGTTTTCCCGGATTTTTTTAAAAATCCTTAATATTCCCAGGTTTTCCCTGATATTTACCGCTTTTCCCTAGTATTCCCTGACTGTGGCAACACTGTATAAATGCATTCTTAGGTTTAAAAGCGCAAGTATTAGGACGACTTACCGATTGCCAATTTCCACTGCGTACCGCGTGCTTGTACTTCTCGTAAAGTTTCCCTCTGCTCCAAGAGCGTTGAGCATCACGACCTGCGTACCAATGCTCCACCACCTCTGTGGGGAAACAAACACAGACTTCCTCCGCTAGCTCCCGCAGTCTCGAGGCTGAGATTTTGTCCGATCCATTGCGATTTATTTCTTTGGCGATTATTATATGTGTGAGCACCTTCTTATCTTCGACGGTTAGATTATTTGTTCTATCGTATGAGCTGAGGATGGAGCGGCCTTCAGGGGTTTCGGACAACATCGACCGAAGAGAGCTCTCGCGATGCCATCCATTTAGAACTGGAACTGGGGCGTAGAAGGGTTCTTCCTCCGGTTCCGCGACAGCGGGCTCGGGCATCCCCAAAATGGAGTCTTCTGCTGCGCCAACTCCTGCTTCCTAGGAAAACAAACGGAAGAGAAAGGAAATGAGAAGGGAATAACACTCACAAATCCCAACCCAAAGGGCACTTTGTAACTGAAATGTTGAAGTAGATTGCGATGATATTACACGGCAAAAAATGGATTGCTAATTTAACAATTCAATGGACCACTAGACAGGGTACAAATTTAAGCATACTAATACATGTTTCTTCACCAAAGTTTCATGTAGAACACGATTCACACAACGAAAATTACTGAAACCAAATCCTAACGAAGATATTAACCTTTTCATTTCACATTGGTTACGAGGAATTTTAACTGCCCGCTCACAAGAAACTCAAAACTCTACGTGAGTCAAATCGCGCACTACAATGGTTTCAGCAAGCTTCTATATCGAGCAATGTTCATTTCCCACCATGTGTTGTTCAAACTATAAGCAACTTGCTGTAGCTGAGCCAAAGCGTCAAGACTGAGGTTGCCAGATTTTTATATCGCTGAGACGTTCATGATAACGTTTAGCGCGCGATGTGAATCACGTAGAGCATTGAGTGTTCATGAGCGGGTGGTTTCAATTGACGCATCAAGAATCATTAAATATCTTCGTAAGAAGTTAATGTCGGTAATTTTCGTTGTGCGTATCGTGTTTTACGTGAAATTTTGGTTAAGAAACATGTATCAGAATGCTGAAATTCGTACTTTGTCTAGTGATCCATTGTTAAAAGATATGTCCAACATGTTTTAAATGTACATTTTACAATAAGAAAAAGCTAATTTAAACGCAGGGTTGGTTAAATTAGCATTTTTTTATTGTAAAATCTACATTCAAACATGTTGGACACTTTTTTACGATAAAATTGTTTAATAAGCAATTTCAGTTTACAGGCTGAAAGGAATTGTGTGTGTCGGGTTTCCGTGCAGCACAGTGGGAGGCGTGAATGATCGATAATCGATATTTCCCATTTGGAGCTATGGTGAAGAGTCGATTATGAAGGTGCTCGTTGCAAACACCCTGTTTATCGATCCTTTTCCATGGGTTTAAGTGGCGCATCAATCGATGTATCGCAAAGCACGCCACGCCAGTAATGTGCGAATGGAAAACCTCAACGATCAATTATGGAAAAATAAAAAAAATTGAACTTTTAAAAAAAATCAGCTGTTACGGTGATCCTGTAATCGTATTTGGATGGTTTGCGTTTGAGTATAAAAATAAGAATACATAAATTAAGAACGAGTATTAGGTAAAATAAAATGCGTCAAGTTTCTAAAATACATCTTAATGGAATTCTCGCCTTCCAAAAAACATTGGAGGAAAACGTTTGCAATTAAATCGTGGGTACAAATTAGTGAACATGAAATTTACCTGTTCACAGTCGTGTTCAAGTCCTTCATAGTCCCACGCTAGTTGTTCAGATCCTGGAAGCAGCTTTGTAAAATCGTCCAGTTCCGGCTTGCACTCAGGAAAATCGACGTAAGAGAAGACTTGCTCTACGATCAAATTACTCTCGGTATCTGAGGAAAAATACGATCCAAATATGGGTTGGAAAAAAGAATTAGCTACAGAGAGATGGAGGGAAAATGATGAATTTTTAGTTTGCATTTGTGTGCACATGGAACAGATCATGCAGTACAGAAACGAATTCAAATTTGTAAAATGACCATGAACAATTTTCATACTAGAGGGTTACTTCTTAATATTTTAGAGCATTCACATCTCTTTTCTCCTCTTGGCTACCTGTAAGAGATCTCACCTGTAAACAGTAAATTCAGACTGAAACTTATCATACCAGATGGCAAATTTTCAGCTCTTAAAAAGACACACAACCCTACGGTCTGAGTAGCTAATACTTCCTGCGCGATGCTTATATCATCACTCTTCAGCCAGGCCGCTGATCATACCTGATGCCCTCTGGGAGTGATGGATTTTTTCTAAGGAAAATAGACATCTTCCCTGCGATATGAGTTAATTATAATAATTTTACGACCTGGTTTGTCAGCTTATTGTTAGTGCAATGCGTTAATTTTTTCTCTGTAATCCGATGCATGGCCGGAGGAAGCATAGAGGGCGTAATCCCCCCCCCCCTCATTTGCCCGAGAAAAAATAGGAAGAAAAAAGAAGGAAAGGAAGGAACGGAGGAGGGAAGAAGGAATGAGGCTTGTATTTCGTAATTATTCATGACAAAATTGACCAAAACAGCATATTACATGCTTTAAAATCTCCAAAATATTCTGATGGAAGCCCCCCGTCCTAGCTCGCCCCCCCCTCCAACATTCAGATCCTATGGAAAACTACTGTAAAATGTAGTCAAAACGTAAAAATTTTAAAAAGTGTACTATCAGCCTTGTTTAAAAAGCTTTCTACGCTTTACTGTGAAATATATTGATAGTGATTTAAATGATGTTCATACCTAGGATATTTTTAGAAGGAAATTCAAAATGTAAAAAAAAAAAAAAAAAAAAAAAAAAAAAAAAAAAAAGAAAATAATAATAATAATAATTAATTTGGGAATCAGAAGGAGAACGGATTATAAAGGTTGTGATGATAATTGAAAACACATAAAGTTGAATTCAGAAAAATATACTCTGCCTTAATTTGGTGCAACTAATAAATTAAAAATCACAAATGGTATAAAAAGACTCGGGGTTTTTTTACAAACAAGAGAATGTATGCGAGTGTATGTGCGCGCACACGCATACACGTACGCGCACTTAATAATAAAAACAGGAGATACCAGGTACGACTAAAGTAGATCAAAAGGTAAAAATATCTACCTAAAAATATAATTCTGCGAAAATGCCATTAGACAAGATCTGGACTAAAAAAAAAGAAATCACACGTTTTCTCATCAAAATTTTACTGAGAAAACTATTTTAACTACAATAGGTCCACAAATAATTTCTTGAATGAAATATTAATAAGATCTTTTTTAACATATCTCAAATGGAAGTTAGACTTCACAAATGACGTCATTTGTATACTTACTCTTTAAGGAGAATAAGTTTTAGACCTAAAATATTCGTTTTCCTCATTGGCGGATCCAGCGAATTGGCAACATTGTATTTCTCCATTTAAACCTACGGAAATGTATCGATTTTTGGATGGGCCAGGTGCTCCGACAAAAATCGATTATTTGACAAAGGTTTAAATGGAGTGAATCCGGTGTTGCCAAATTGCTGCATTCGCCTCTGATTTCCTTCGTAAAATGTTGAAGATGGAACGTGTTGCATAGTGTTTAAATTTATACCTTGTCTAGAGGCACATAATCGGCATATGATAGGGAAACAACAAAAGGGTAAAATTAAAAAGACGCAAAAAGCCATCCAAAAAATTTGGTAATCAAAAGCGGCTAAAAATTATAAAAGATATGAAATAGATAATGATGTGATAAGATCAATGTGTTAAATACCAAAAATACATCAGGAAGGGGCCAAGAAAAAGTCTAAATGATTACAGAAATGCTCGACATGAGTCTTTTCGTGACATTCAAGAAGTACTTCCACGTTTTTATTGGACCTATTACTTTGAAATAAAATAAAAAGTTTACCCGTAGGAAAATGAAATCTCTACACTGATATATTTGGAAAAAATATGTTCAATGGTTTCAAGAATGCAGGAAAAAGACAGATTCTTTGGGAAAATGTAACCTTTCGTTGATGTGACTTACAAAAATGTATCAATTTGCATATGATTCTGAAGTTGATAACAAATATTTCATTAAACCGGTAAAACTTTAAAGGACCGTACAACTTAAAGCTAACAAGTTCTTTTTCCACTTCTGTAGATAAACACATATTGGTAACAAAAAGTCCCTCTAGCGGAGGTTTATTTCAATAAAATATGACTCAAAGTGAAGATAAAGATTCTGAATTGAGTGTTCCAGAACAAATTTTGGAGAATGCCTCTCAAAATCGGGACAGGTATGGGTTGCATGATGTGCAATAACTGGCTTTTTCAGGAATAATTCCAGAGTAACATAGTAAGGAACATGCGGTTAACGTGCAGAGTTAAGCTGACTAATTATTTAAAAGTAGAATTCAGCTGAACTTACAGTATTATACGGCAAATTGGCAATGCTCATGATAAATTAACATTTGAAACATACAGTGTAAACACAGAGGAATGTACCTAGTTAGACAAGAGAGTGGAATAGCAACAATGTCAAAATCAATTTAATAAAATTAAATCCGCCTCTGTTTGTTTTCCGATAGGTCATTCTTTAAAAAATAACGCATTTCATCTATTTCCAGCCATCAGCATTAACCAACCGCACATATAACAATAACTAAAAAGACTTAAGAGTACTTTTTAAAGACGAATACAGCAAGCTCGGTTCAATTGCAATTCACTGAGAACTGAGGGCAGCAGATAAAAACCAACTCAAGTCGCTCCTATCAGAAATGGGGATTTTTGATTAATGTTGCTTCGTAAGAACGTTTTGTGCGTTTAAGAATGAGAAACTAATTATTAAGCTAAAAAAAAAAAAAACTTGACAACACTACGGTTATTCACGTCTGTACGTTTTAAGCTCTGAGAACCCTGGATAAATATGCTTTTTCACCAAGACCCCGGGATAATTTCTGCATGACGAGAGGCAGAAACTTCCTAAATAAATCTGAGACACCTACATGCTATGTAGTATCAATATTGATTTGACATTATATAGGTATATTATACCTTGTGAAAAATGCAGTTTTGTAACGAGGTATCAGCCATTAATTTTTTAAGTATGGATTTTTCCATACTACTGAGAAACTAGGTTGAAGAGAGATTTGTACCTCGTGTACATGTATTAAACCTTATTATAGAAAAAACACAAAACGATGGGTAAACAAGGCTAAAAACAGAGACATAAAAAACCTGGGACCTAGGCAAATGGGGGCTTAAAAGTCTCTTGATTTTTATAATTTATTTTTTAATTTTATTTCTGTGTCCTGGTCGAGGAGAGGGTTGAGACTTGAGACCACCCTGAGACGTCCCAGATTTCTTTATGTCTCTGTTTTTAGCCTTGTTTACCCATTGTTTTGTGTTTTTTTCTAGTTAATCCTTAGTATATTATTAATATACTAGGGTCTGTTGCTTTGTTCAAAACAAAATTGGTTTTATCTGCTGCATTCAGTTCTAACAAAGGAGCGATGAAATTCGTGAGTCTAGCTGTACTGTTTGTGTCTGAGGCTTTTGTGTATCCTCAGCTCGTTTCTTCTCTTGGAGACGTGCGAGCACAGGTCGCAGGGGAAATTCGGCTTCCCGACGATGTATTTGCACTCGTATCTGATGTGTCGGTTCAGGGTCGTTTTATTTTTATAAGACTTCCCGCAGAGATCGCACTGGAACCGCTCGCCAGTGTCGTCCAATGGACTACCCACCATCGGTTGTTTGTACCGCGAGTCTACGGATCAAATAACAGAAATCAAATCAGGAATTAGAGCAATAATACAACTCGACGAGTTCTGCAAGTCGAGGGACATCGGCGGGCTGATAATTGGAATCGATGGATAAAGCTGTAGGCACAAGAAACGAAAAGAAAATGAAGCAATGCTGTTGGTGGAAGAGGGTGGTTCCAATGTACAAAGGAGGTAGATAACAGACTAACTAACGGCAACCCAGGAGAGACCTTAAAGTTAGTCAGTCATTTATCCCCTTAATCTAAACAACCACCGGTTTCTATCGATAGGATCGCCCATGTTTTCCTTTTGTCTTCTTAGTCGATAGCTATGTCCATCAATCTCAATAATCAGCCCACAGCGGCGCGATTATTCCAGGCTAACACCATTTTCCCTACCTTCGAATGCAAGTGCAACGATCGAATGTGTGTGTGGCGTGTATGATAGGTGAAGTAGACTCACATGAGATCTATAATAGACGATTTTAGTGGTGACGTTACGAAGCGATATTGGAGGTTCGATATCTCGAAAGTCGAAATGTGCCCCAACAAACAAACATAACCTACAAAATGAACAATTGACGAAATAAGCTAAAACTAGCCTGAAACCAAACAATTAATCCATGGGACTTTAAAATTATGAAAGCTACTCATTTATCAAAACGTTTGAGATCACAATCACAAGAATTGATTGTAAAATAAGATCGTAATATCATAGACAGTCATCGCGCGAATACCCCTACCCCCCTGCCTATATCCCGCAGATTCCTCCATGTTCGTTTGTTGGGGCACGTTTCGACTTTCGAGGTATCGAAATTATAACGAGATGTGACGTCACACTAAACTCGTCTATCATAGAGGATAATAATGAAGGAGAGACAGTTTTGCCGGCTTGCGGCAGTTAGACATATTTATGCTGAAAGGAACTATGCTGCATCAGTGGCATGGCGTGCTTTGCGATACATCGATTGATCTGCCCTTTAGACCTATGGAAAAGGATCGACAAACAGGGTGTTCGCAACGAGCACCTTAATATTCGATTCTTGACCATAGCGTCGAATGGGGAAATATGGATGATCGCTCATTCACGCCTCGCCACCGTGTAGAAGAAACTTAGCTCCATTCCAAGTA